ATATATAATGTTCATAAGCTTGATTGTTGTATAAGTCCGGTTCGTCACCTAAAGTAAAAGATAACCTTTGATTCTCGAGTTAATTGTGGTGAAATCAAAATAATATTTTTTAAAAATAGACATGAATATATTATCAATACAAGATATATTCAACAAAAGTGAGGAAAAAGTCTGATACAGTAAGATATATATAAACCTTTTTATTTGGTTGATCACCAAATACTTTGTTAAGAAATAAGTAAAAGATAAACTAGGTTATGAAATATGAATTGGAGATGGTCTAGGTTTTGGATAGATAAAAATTAAGGTGAATTAAATCTAAAGAGTTAACGAAAATGAAATAACTTTAAGATTTTATGAATGTTTATTGAGATACTAGCAAATTATTCATTAACAAAATCTTTACATCAACAAAAATTAAATATACATCATTTTAAAATATGTGCTCATTTCATTATCAAGTAAATCAATCTTTGTTGACTAAGGTCTAGTTTCATATTAAGAAACAAATTCAACTGAACAACAAATAAAACAAATTTTTAGTTTAAGAAAACAAGTTAAATTTAAAGAAATAAGCATTTATTTTTCTGGTCCAATTCAGAAGAAATTAATACAATAAAAAAGAAACAAGCTAGTATTTGTTTGGAAACAAATTTGTCAAAAAAAAAATCAGTCATGGTTAGAGACAGAATAAAATTAATTATAGATGAAATAAACTAGTCACTATTAGAGACGGATTGTTATTTTTTGAAATTTTTTAGAGACGAGTTTTTATTAAAATAGTGACAATATAGAAAGTAATAATTCATCTCTAATTAATTAAGGATGCTTGGAATAGTGATGAAACTCTTTTCATCCGTAATTCCATCTATAAATTGTTAAGGATGAAATGTTACTTTTAGAGACAGAAAATTTCTGTCTCTATATCAAAGTTTTCTATTAGTGTTAGTTAGTTAATTAATACTTGCAACCACTTAATCTAAAATTTATCCAAGTCTACCACAAGCTAAAACCACAATGATCTACATGCATAAGGATCACACAATACCAACACAAAAGCTAAGGACATACATAAGAATCGCAATTCTAATGCAATTTATCTATATCTACACTTTTTCTTATTTTCACTACACCAAATTACTTTCACATATAGGGTGAGAGTCAGTTCAAGCATAAAATCAAGTATATTTTTTACTTTAAGCCTTCAAAATAATATATAATATATATTAGTATTTATACAATTTTTATTATTAGTTGATTTATAATAGAATGACAATTAAGATACATTAATTATTTTCTTGATAAATAGAGTTGAAACATTGTTAGGAAAAAGATTGATTTTATTTTTATAAAACTTCTAATTTTTATATTACTTTTTTTTTTTATTTATAAAAATTTCATATGAAGGTTTCATCCGGGCCTAATAATATATTGAGCCGACTTTTTTTTTTTATTTATAATTTTTTTACGTAGTTTCACACAATTTTATCTTCTTCACTTCCCCTCTCTCGAACTTCGACTGCTACAAATGAATCGTAAAATGGGAATGAAAGACTTTATCCTTGATATGGTTCAATCATTTCCGGAACTCTCTTGGTGCCATGTCGCTACCTTGCATATGCAATCTCTCGAAACAACACGTATTATAATTTGAAAATATTGAATCCATTATTTTGACGAAAACTACGTCTCATGACTGAATGAACTATATGAAGCCACGAACGGGAAAAATAAATTCAGTTGGTATAAATAGCTTATAATTAATTACAGTAACTTGCGTGATGAAGTGATAATTCTACGTCATCATGATAACGTTAAAGCTATTTCAATTGATTAAGGCATTAGCTTAAGATGATTCGTTGAACAAAACATATATCTAACACCAATTATTTGTTTTATTACAATGAAATGTCAATTATTGATATACATGTGACTAGAAGTATGTATGTTAGTGTTGAGAACGTTGTCATAGAATAAAAATCTCCATAAAATTATTGTAAACGAAACAAATATATATAGAAGTAAGTTAAATAGTCACTAATTTAATTTAAGTTAACATCATCCCTCACATAAATGGATGTTTGAAATATATAAGTTAACATCATCCCACACATCAACCGACATAAAGTTATTTTAATTTAATTATTAGTTCCGAATTCAAGTCCGTAGTTATCTTAAAAATAATGTTTTTATCATTACATATAATGATCTTACTCAAAAATACCTATGACCTCCATGAGAATAAAAGAAACATAGGTTAATAAATACAATTTCATTTCATTTAATAACTAGTGCAAACCTGGGTGGAATGAAAGTGCTGGAGGCCAGTCCATAACAATAAGTAAAATATTTAATCGTTAATTCAAATTTTATTTTTGTACTGTCACGGTCAATTTCCGACCCGTTTCCCTTAACAGGTTGTAATCCTTATCGAAACCTGACACTACACTACCCTTTCCTTAGTAATAGGCCGACTACGACCTCGGCCGACTCCTTCTGTTTGGGTCACTCGATCTACGCCCGAGTGACATTTTGGCGTGAGCCAGCTTGGCCCCATCCCGATTTCTGCAGCTTATAAAACCCACTCGGTCTATATCTGATTATACCCCTCCACGGCAGTCTGGCCGACCCTATTCCGACCCATTTGCTAAGATCTTACTCGGTCAATAACCGATTATGTCCCTTAAACGGACTTAGTCGGTCGGGAACTGATCCGGACTCCCTATACTGATACCGTCACATAGCGTGGGTAAGGCCCCACCCTTGCTCATCAAGTATCTTGCGGATAAGAACGGTTAAGGAAATTTCTACGTTCTCGGGGCTCGAGAGGCCCATAAACAAGAAACTATAAAACCTAAAACCCTAGAGTTGAGACGACAGATTACACTTTTGAATGCTCTAGCTTTGAGGCTTGATCTAGGAAGAAATCCTAGTCCAACCTTTGGCCGGAACATTTTGGCGCCCACCGTGGGGCTACGGTGAAACTTTTCCTACGCCCCAAGTCACATAGAAGAACCAGCACTTTACCATGGCGAGAGGCGGCAATAACAACAACGACTCACAACACCCTACCATGGAGGAGATGATGGCCATGATCAATGGCTTAAGGGAGGAGAATGCGCAGTCCAGGGAGGGAAAGAGAGGAGGCCATTCAACGCGAAAACGAGGAGATCAGGAGGAGAGCGGATGAGATGCAGGCCAGAATAGCGGCCAGTACCAGGACGGTGGAGGAAGACGTCATGATGGAAGTCCCTAGGGATTTTTGACCTTTCTCGGAAGCGATAGAGGCCGAGATCATCCCCAGGGATCATCGGATACCCCGAGTCGAGCCTTTTGATGGAACCCAGGACCCTAGTCAACACTTGACGGATTTCCGGGCACAAATGTTGATTTGCAGCGGGAGCATGGAAGTTCGCTGTAAGCTGTTCATGGGCACGCTCAAAAAAGCTGCCCTTGATTGGTTTAGTGGCCTCCCTAACCGATCCATCACCGACTTCGATGTCTTCAGTCGGCTATTCATGGCACAATTTACCGCTAACAAGAAGAAGCCACCAATTACGTCGGACTTGTTCGACCTCAAGCAGCAGTGGGAGGAGTCACTGAAGGATTTTTTGCAAAGGTTCAATGAAGTCGCCCTGAGGATAGCATCCTTGGATGAGAGGATGGCTGTCATCGCGTTCCAGAAGGGCTTAAGGTCTGGGGCCTTCGACATCGCGCTGGAGAGAGCGAATTGTCAAACGATGTCGGAGGTGAGAGCGTTCGCCCTGAGTCACATCAAGACGGAGGAAGGACAAATTAACAAAAGGGCTGCTGAAAGCCGAGAGGAGGCAGGGGGAGGTAATAAGGAGAGCAACAAACATCTTCGACCGCGTTCAGATTGGAATAAGCGACATGATCGCTATAATGTGAAGGAGGCAAATTACCGACAGGCCGATCGGGGAGGTCGGCCAAGGGGCGAGTGGACACGTACCAACGACGAAGAGATGTTTACCCCACTCAACGTCCCTAGGAGGCAGATACTCCATGATGTCAACAGCGTAGCATTGTTCGAATTCCCAGCAGCGACGGAGCGCCAATTGGGTCCCTTCAAGACCGACTGGTGTGAGTTTCACAGGACTCACGGACACTCTACGGAAAATTGTTTCATCCTTGGAAGACAGATTGAACGCTTGATCAAGGAGGGACGCCTGAAAAAGTTTGTGGCAAGAAAACAGGAAGAAGGCTCGTCAGATAGGCGACACAGACGTGCACAGGACGACACAAGGAGGGATGGGCGTAGGGAGAGAACTCCCCCCAAGGACACTCCATCAAAATCATCGGAGGTCCATCAGTAGGCAATTCACGGGGATTTTAACACAGTTGCGGGAGGATTTGCAGGAGGAGGGGTCACCGCGGCTGCTCAGAAAAGGTACACCCGATCCGTCATGTCCATCTCGGAAATCCGCCGGCCACCCCAACCCACGATTTCCTTCTTGGACGCCGACTATGAAGGGGTGGCTCCTCACGAGGATGACCCTATCGTCATTTCGACGATCATGACGGGCTATAATGTGAAGCGCGTCCTGGTCGACCAAGGGAGCTCGGCCGACATCCTTTTTTGGGAAGCTTTCGTGGGAATGAAGATCCCCAACGACCGACTAGTACCCTACGCGAGAGCCCTAGTAGGTTTTGCGGGAGACCAGGTTATGGCTAGAGGGTACGCCGATTTGGAAACAACCTTCGGGCAGGGTTCGTAGATGAAAACGGTAACTATCCGATATTTAGTGGTGAATGCTCAGTCATCCTACAATATACTTATCGGCCGACCTACACTGAACAAGCTGGGAGCCATAGTGTCAACATCACATCTGAAGGTGAAATACCCATTGCCGAATGGGGTTGTCGGGGTCCTCAAAGTAGATCAAGAGGTCGCCCGAAAGTGTTACGAGGACAGTCTGAAGGCAAGAAGGCGATTATATACCGCTCCAGCTGAGAAGCACATCCATTCCGTCGAACTGGACCCTAGAATGGGTCAGTTCGATCACCGACCCGCCCCCCGCAGAAGATGACAAGGAAGTGGAAGTAATGGAGGGGAGAAATGTAAAGATAGGTACCTCTTTAACTCCCGAGGACAAAGAGAGGTTGGTAAGGGTTCTAAAAGATAATGTGTCGGCATTTGCGTGGCATTCCAGCGACATGCCTGCATTAATCCAGATTTCTTGTGCCACAAACTTGCTATAGACCCTAGTGCGAAGGTGGTGATCCAGAAGAGAAGGAAGTTCGACGAGGAGAAACGAAGGGCTATCGCGGAAGAGACGCAAAAGTTGGTAATGGCAGGACATATCCGGGAAATCCAGTATTCAATCTGGTTGGCGAATGTAGTCATGGTGCGCAAGAGTAGCGGGAAGTGGAGAATGTGTACGGATTTTACCGACCTGAATAAGGCCTGCCCCAAAGACTCGTACCCATTGCCAAACATAGACTGCCTGGTGGATGGAGCGTCGGGATACGAGTTGCTGAGCTTTATGGATTCTTACTCGGGGTACAACCAAATCCGAATGCACCCGGCAGATGAGGACAAAACCGCCTTCATAGCCGATCAAGCCAATTTCTGCTACAGGGTTATGCCATTCGGTCTAAAGAACGCGGGGGAGACCTATCAGCGACTGATGGACAAAGTCCTTGTGAATCAGCTAGATCGGAATGTGGAAGCTTATGTGGACGACATGGTGGTGAAGTCAGAAAGCGTCAATCGGCATTTCGACGACTTGCAAGAGTTGTTCGACACTATCGGCAAGTACCAGCTCAAATTGAATCCCGAAAAGTGCTCTTTCGGGGTCCAAGCAGGAAAGTTCCTCGGTTTCCTACTGACTCACCGTGGCATTGAAGCAAACCCTGACAAGGTGCTCGGCCATCATCAACATGAGGAGTCTTTCCACGGTGAAGGAAGTCCAGCAACTTACGGGAAGAATGGCTTCGTTGTCTCGTTTTCTGTCCAGATCAGCCGATAAGGCGTTACCGCTTTTCCAATGTCTGAAGAAGAATGATCGTTTTGCTTGAACGACCGAGTGTGAAGAAGCTTTCACAGAACTCAAGAGATCACTGGCATCGCCGTCGATCCTGACAAAACCACGACTAAACTTCCCTCTGTTGGTTTACATATCAGCATCCGACCGAGCAGTCAGTTCGATTCTTGTACAGGAACAAGAAGGTTTACAAGCTCCTATTTACTTCGTGAGCAGGGTCCTACAGGGAGCAGAGACGAGGTACCAGAAGATTGAAAAGCTAGCCCTCGCAATACTAGTTACCGCGAGGAATTTGAGGCACTATTTTCAGAGCTACGAGGTGGTAATCCGAACTGACCATCCGATTCGCCAAGTCCTGCAGAAACCCGATCTGGCAGGTAGAATGATGAAGTGGTCGGTCGAGCTCTCAGAATTCTCCATCAAGTATGAGCCGAGAGGAGCGATCAAAGCTCAAGCTTTAGCCGACTTCTTGATGGAGTTGACCCCTCCGGTTGAGGAGGGCTCAGCCGGAGAAACCCAATGGATTCTATCAGTAGACGGTGCTTCGAATCTAGGAGGAAGTGGAGCTGGAATTGTCTTGGAAGGCCCGGGGGGAATACTACTAGAGCAGTCATTACGATTTGAGTTTCGGGCAAGCAACAACCAAGCCGAGTACGAGACGTTGTTAGCAGGGATGAGTTTGGCAAAGGAGATGGGGGCGACGAGCTTATCAGCTAGAAGCGACTCCCAGCTGATCACCGGACAAGTGGCTGGAACCTTCCAAGCGAAGGATCCTCAATTGGCCAAGTACTTGGAAAAGGTCAAACTTCTATCGGAAAACTTCCGAGAGTTCACACTCAACCACGTACCACAAGAGAAAAACTCGCGGGCTGATCTGCTCTCCAAGCTCGCAAGCACAAAGAAGCCAGGAGCCACTCGGTCAGTTATCCAAGAAACTTTATCTCAGCCAAGTATCAATACTCCACAGGAAAGTGTTCTTTTCATCCAAGAAGAACTCGATTCGTGGATGGGACTGTATATTGCGTACCTGACAAAGGGAGAGTTGCCAGAGTATAAGAGGGAGGCATCATTGATACAAAGGGAGTCAGCCAGATTTGTGGTCATCAATGAGAGATTATATCAAAGGGGTTTCAGCAGTCCCCTTTTGAGATGTTTGACCACATCGCAAGCGCAAAGAATGATGGATGAAGTGCATGGTGGCATGTGTGGAAGCCATATCGGAGGACGAGCACTAGTATACAAAGTTGCGAGGGCAGGCTTCTTTTGGCCAACTCTGAGAAATGACTGTGTCAATTGGGTTCAAAAGTGCGATGGATGTTAAAGGCACGCGACTTTGCACCACTCCCCAACTGAACGACTCCACTCGATCTTATCTCCTTGGCCATTCAACAAGTGGGGTATTGACATTCATGGCCCATTTCTGATCGCAGTGAGACAGTTGAAATTCTTGATAGTGGCTGTAGACTACTTCAGCAAATGGATTGAAGCAGAGCCTGTAGCAACTATTTCGGCGGAGAAGGTAAGGACATTTTTATGGAAGAATGTAGTATGCAGATATGTCGTTCCCCAAGTCCTCGTATCAGATAACGGGACGCAATTCGCGAGTGGGAGAGTCCGCGAATTTTGTTGAGGGATCGGCATCCGAATGACGTTCACCTCCGTCGAACACCCCCAATCTAATGGCCAAGCGGAGTCGGCTAACGAGGTTATACTTTCGGGTTTGAAAAAGCGCGTCCAGGACTCAGGCGCTTCATGGGTGGAGGAGCTTCCCCGGGTGTTATGGTCATATCACACAACTGTTCATTCGTCGACCCAAGACACTCCTTTCAATCTAGTGTACGGAACAAACGCCATGATCCCGATTGAAATTGCAGAACCCTCAGTACGTACTACAACTTTTTCTGAGGAAGAATCCGACCAGGGAAGACGAGTTGACTTGGACTTGATCACAGAGACAAGAGAGAAAGCAAGGATAAATCAAGTAGCAGCCCAGAGAAGAGCATCTTTCAAGTACAACACAAAGGTCGTCCCAAGAGACTTTGTTATAGGAGACCTCATTTTGAAGCGTGCTCAGCTGACTCAGATGAGGAACAAGCTGTCACCTAAATGGGTCGGTCCTTATAAAATTGATGATGTGGTCGGCAAGGGAGCTTACCGACTGAGGACCTTGGATGGAGGGATGATACCGAGAACTTGGAACGCTGCAAACTTACGCTTCTATTATAGCTAGTCTTTCTTTCCATTTGTATTAGGTGCACTCTTTTCCTAACTCAGTATTTTTTCCCCATAAAAATGAGAGGGGTTTTTGCCGAGAAGGTTTTTAACGAGGCACCACAAACTAATAATTTTCAATTCTAATAAATATCACCCCATATTGTTCTCTTCTATGATTTCTAACATGTGTTATTTCAAAGGCACAAAACTCGTGATTGTCGGCAAAAGTCCTACTGGGCGAGTATAAATAACTCGAAGACAAACTCGTGATTGTCGGCAAAAGTCCGACTGGGCGAGTATAAATAACTCGAAGACCAAACTCGTGATTGTCGGCAAAAGTCCGACTTGGCGAGTATAAATAACTCGAAGACAAACTCGTGATTGTCGGCAAAAGTCCGACTTGGCGAGTATAGATAACTCGAAGACAAACTCGTGATTGTCGGTAAAAGTCCGACTGGGCGAGTATAGATAACTCGAAGACAAACTCGTGATTGTCGGCAAAAGTCCAACTGGGCGAGTATAAATAACTCGAAGACCAAACTCGTGATTGTCGGCAAAAGTCCGACTGGGCGAGTATAAATAACTCGAAGACAAACTCGTGATTGTCGGCAAAAGTCCGACTGGGCGAGTATAAATAACTCGAAGACAAACTCGTGATTATCGGCAAAAGTCCGACTTGGCGAGTATAAATAACTCGAAGACAAACTCGTGATTGTCGGCAAAAGTCCGACTGGGCGAGTATAAATAACTCGAAGACAAACTCGTGATTGTCGAAAAAAGTCCAACTGGGCGAGTATAAATAACTCGAAGACCAAACTCGTGATTGTTGGCAAAAGTCTGACTTGACGAGTATAAATAACTCGAAGACAAACTCGTGATTGTCGACAAAAGTCCGACTTGGCGATTATAAATAAGTCGAAGACAAACTCGTGATTGTCGAAAAAAGTCCGACTGGGCGAGTATAAATAACTCGAAGACAAACTCGTGATTGTCGGCAAGAGTCCGACTGGGGGAGTATAAATAACTCGAAGACCAAACTTGTAATTGTCGGCAAAATTCCGACTACCTCATTTCATGATAATTTCTAATTTGGTGAACTTCTCGCCACTCTACTCAGAAAACTGGCAATCCCAAAAAGCATGGGTTGGAATATGACCGACTACCTCATTTGATGATGATATATAACTTGGTGAATTTCGTACAACTTCGTAGTCAGAAATGTCAAATCTGGTGAACCAAACCGAATTGGTCAGAATTTGGGCGATTGGCCCTACAAGATTTCATTTCTATTTTACCCTACAAGCCTTCAGTTTTACTTAGAAAAATTTTTCTTCCGTCATTTGAGTCGGCATTTGACCGACTAGTTTGGTAAAAATTTATTATAAAATCTTCCATTCAAAAGACAAATCGGAGCTTAGGCGATCCGACTTTTTAAAGTCCATTTTATTTAGAAATTGTTTTCACATATTATTCGGTTCAGAATTTGGGCGACCACGTGGTTAAAACTCTTTATAACTTCTCCTATTATTTCAATCGGAATTTGGGCGACCCAGGCGTTAAGCTTTAACTCGTTAAGCTTCGTTTCAACGTGGTAAAATTTTCTTTCATTATTTGAATCGGTGATTAGGCAACTATTTTAGCTAAGAAAAATCTCACACATTCAACAAACGTCAAAGAAAAAGGTGGAACATGTGATCATCAATACGAAATTAAAATATGCATAGTTTGTAGCAAGGGAAAGTGCACAAAACTACATGGTTCAAGAAAGAAACGACTACAATACTCAGAGCTTAGCCAAGTTCCGGTACTTAATAAAAAAAATTTCCACTCTATTGGAGTCGAAATTTGGCCGACTAATTAGGCCAATCCTCAATTTTTGTAAACTTTGAAAAATTGTTACTTTGTTTTACTCGGCTTTTGGGCGACTAGTTAAGCCGGTCTTCAATTTTCTTAGAAAGTTCCGATTGGTTCAGTCAAATCTTAGAATATTTTCCACAGTACCTTTGAGTCGGAATTTAGGCGAATTGTATGCTCGAATCCTAAGATAGGAAAATTTTGCGACTTTGTTCCAATCGGTATTTAGGCGATTAGAATACCGACTGGCCACGTAAAATGTCATTTTTTAACTTAGAAATTTTTTTACTCGTTGTAACAATCGAAATTAGGGCGATAACTTGATTGTCTCATTGCAATTTAGAAATTTTTACAATCTTAGAATATTTTCCACAGTATCTTTGAGTCGGAATTTAGGCGAATTGTATGCTCGAATCCTAAGATAGGAAAATTTTGCGACTTTGTTCCAATCGGTATTTGGGCGATTAGAATACCGACTGGCCACGTAAAATGTCATTTTTTAACTTAGAAAATTTTTTACTCGTTGTAGCAATCGAAATTTGGGCGATAACTTGGTTGTCTCATTACAATTTAGAAATTTTTACAATCTTAGAATATTTTCCACAGTATCTTTGAGTCGGAATTGTATGCTCGAATCCTATCTTTTAACTTAGGAAAATTTTGTGATTTTGTTCCAATCGGTATTTGGGCGATTAGAATACCGACTGGCCACGTAAAATGTCATTTTTTAACTTAGAAAATTTTTTACTCCTTGTACCAATCGAATTTTGGGCGATAACTTGGTTGTCTCATTGCAACTTAGAAATTTTTACACTTGGTTCAAAACATTATCTTATCATTAAGAGTTGAGAACGAATCCCTAAATTTAATAGAGCACAGCGTTAACCAAAAGAAGATATTTCATAAAGTGTTCCAAAACAAGAAAAACAAGCTAGTAAAGGAAATGCAACAGAAATTGAAAATATAAAGGCAAATACAAAAGTTTTAAGGACGTTATCAATCATCCTCGGGAGGATTCACCAGCTCCCCATCCACAATTTCCTTAAAGTAGCCAAGTCCACCAAGGTCTATATCGGCGTGGAGGAACTTCACTTGACTTGTGGCAGCATCAAAACCTTGAACGAACTTCTTCAGAGAGTCCATCTTGACTGCTTGAAGCTCGTTCTGCAGCTTCTCCACCTCAATCTTCATCACGGAAAAATCATTCTCGAAGACGCTAGCAGCATCGGCCGACTTGTCCCGAGACAGGCGTGTCTCGTCCAATTCTTTCTCCATCGCCATCTTCTCGGCGGCCCAAGCTTTCTTCTCTTCCTCAAAGGCGCGACGACCTTCCAGCTGTTTGTCTCGTTCATTGGATATCCACTTAAAGTCGGCCTTGCTTTTACTCAAGCTATCCTCCAAAGAAGAGATCTTTTTCCCCTGCACTTTAGTCTCCCTCACTAGCCCCCGAATTTTGTCTTCATTGACAAGTGAAAGAACCGAGAGACGGTTGGTCAGTGACTCAATCCCCTTGGCAATTGAGAAAGCACTCATTTTTTCTAAGTCGTCGCAGTCTCCCTCCAGCAGGTCGGTCCCACGAATATGGGCACTGTGATTGAATTTTTCATCCCAGAAAGAAGCCACGTCGCCACGATTGGCGCCGTGATTCACTGGATCCCAGTTTTCACCAAGGCAAGCACTAATAGTCCTCTCAGCCGAATGAACCTTCGTGTCGTCTTTATCCCCTTCAGAAGCCATAGTAGTATCCAAGTTAACCACCGAGATGGGCCTATCGGTCTCGCAGCGACGCTTGTGCGAAGTTTCGCCCACGTTTCTCGCCAACGTCACAGGATTCTCGATGGCCGACTCGTCAACACCGGTGCCTTGGGAAGCTTTTTGTTGCTTCCATAACTTCATCATTTCGCGGGTACTCAAGCTAGCCATTCTCTCTGCAAAAATGCACCCAACAATTAATAATAAAACAAAGGCAAAAGTGGAATAAACAATTTCAACATTCAAACAAGCGCAAATACCTATATATATTTTCAACTCTTGGGGCCTATTTTCTAGATCTAGGAGTTTTGCGGTGTTGAAAAGGGTTTTCAGGTCTTCAAGTTTTTTGACATCCTCTCGGTCATTCTCCGGGAGTGACTCGAGATTTAGCCCACCAAAGGAGGTCGGTTGCTAGTTCTAGAAAAGAGGATACCCCTCAAGTAAACCTTCGTGGCCGGGCAAGCACCGAATGCGAAAAAATGATTTTTTAAAGTCCTTATAGAACGACTGAAAAAGAGACAACAACCCTCGCCCCGACACACTACTTACGGACACCTAGCTACTCCGTTTGGATATTTGGCTTTCAAAAAAATAAAAAAATTTGCTCGAGGTCGGCGTTATTCCGAGTCCAGTGCATAGGATTTCAAAACCCCTGACAAAGGCCCAACTATTTGGGTGAAATTGGGTTGGGACTACATTCAAGGCCCTAAGGACTCCTTTTTCGCACTCGGTCAGAGGCCACCTTACCTTAAGCTTGGAAATAAGGGTAACGTAACAAAATGTAAAACGCTCAGAGGACGAACTTATACACACGGGCTCGCTATCTATGCAAGGTTCACAAACAAGGATGTTGTCCGTACTACGGGTAACTACATGCTCACTATTGAAACTCTCCATAGCGGCCCAGGAGTTTATGTAAGAATCACATTTCAAGACGTCATCTTTCACCCAATTGTAAACCTCCTTATAATTTAGAAACGCCATGGATTTCTAAAGACCTAGATACACTAAGCAACCAAAATGATGCACAAACAACACAATAAATACGTAGGTGTACCTAGGGTCACACAAACACCACTTTTCCTTTCTAAACACCACAAGACCGCCGCGAACCACCGGGAGGGAACGAAGAAAAAGGGGGAAAATATTGCCGGAGAAGAGAGTGTGAGCGGAGGGAAATGCAAATGAGTTAGAAAAAATAAAGGCAGCCCCTATTTATAAGAGGCCAAGGGTCGCGCGTGGAGGGAATACCCAAAGGTCACAACGCGTGTAGTACGTTGCAACCCTTAACCCCAAAAAAAAAAAAAAAAGGGGCTCACTGCATTAACTTTTGTAACAGGCGCTGCCACGTCGCACAATCATCATTCACACCCCTGCAACGTCGGCTTTGCAATAAATACATGTCCCTTCTCGAGTAAGGTGAAGAGACACGTCTTATCAGGTTTTGGGGAACCATGATGCTACATGATACCCTGCTCGGCTTACCCCCGATACGTAATCTCGGCCTATTGCCGAGAGGATTTGAAGGGAGCAGTTACTCTAGCCTTTTCGCCTCATAGGCTCAAGGCTGGAAGGCAAGTGTACAGTCTCGGCTTATTCCCGCGAAGGGAGCAGTTACTTTAGCCTTTTCGCCTCATAGGCTCAAGGCTGGAAGGCAAGTGTACAGTCGCAGCTTATTCCCGATACGTAATCTCGGCCTATTGCCGAGAGGATTCGAAGGGAGCAGTTACTTTAGCCTTTTCGCCTCATAGGCTCAAGGCTGGAAGGCAAGTGTACAGTCGCAGCTTATTCCCGATACGTAATCTCGGCCTATTGCCGAGAGGATTCGAATGGAGCAGTTACTTTAGCCTTTTCGCCTCATAGGCTCAAGGCTAGAAGGCAAGTGTACTGTCTCAGCCAATTTCCGACCCGTTTCCCTTAACAGGTTGTAATCCTTATCGGAACCTGACACTACCCTTTCCTTAGTAATGGGCTGACTACGACCTCGGCCGACTCCTTCTGTTTGGGTCACTCGATCTACGCCCGAGTGACATTTTGGCGTGAGCCAGCTCGGCCCCATCCCGATTTCTGCAGCCTATAAAACCCACTCGATCTATATCCGATTGTACCCCTCCACGACAGTCTGGCCGACCCTATTCCGACCCCGTTTGCCTAAGATCTTACTCGGTCAGGAACCGATCCAGACTCCCTATACTGATACCGTCACATAGCGTGGGTAAGGCCCCACCCTTGCTCATCAAGTATCTTGCGGATAAGAACGGTTAAGGAAATCCCTACGTTCTCGGGGCTTGAGAGGCCCATAAACAAGAAACTATAAAACCTAAAACTCTAGAGTTGAGACGATAGATTACACTTTTGAATATTCTGGCTTTAAGGCTTGATCTAGGAAGAAACGCTAGTCCAACCTTTGGCCGGAACAATTTTATAAATAGATAACACAATAACCAACAGAAAATATTTTGGTTAAGGGTAAATTTTCATATTGTAGCAAATTTGTTTTGAAAAGTAAGGTATCTGGATGCCTTTTGTGTCAATATTATCATCATGTTCTGTCGTCGATGAGCGACACATTTCTCACACGGGATTTACGTATGGTCTGTAAAAGAAAGTTTAGATGAACGGAAGCTGCCGACCCAATTTTCATTTGTAAAAAAAATATAACATTAAAGTCAAGTAAATGATAAGATTTTCCGGACAAATGAAGACAACCATGAGCACATAGTTCGAATGGTATTAGGGATAATTTCTTTAACTAAATTTTTAGATTTAATTTTTTTATAAAAATATAATTAAAAGGAAATTTTTTTATTAAAGATGGTCCATCAAATTTTTCTGAAAAAAATAGGATTATTTTTCTTCCTTTTTAATTTATTAGAATTGAAAAAAGTTTAACCTAATTAGAAATTTGCTAAAATATTTCCCACCCCAAAGCTATATAGTATAAATAACGATGTAAATAGAATTAAAGTATTTTATTTTGGCTCCTTAAATATTTAGTTAAACTTATTTTATTAAACAAAAAAACTAAAGTTTACCATACACGTATTATTAGTGAAAAAGTTTACACTATGCCAATCAATTAAAAATAATTATTATGACTTTTAAATTAATTATTATATATAAAAATCAATGAACTTACAAATAATTTATAACTAAATATATAAGTGTAAAAGTTTTTACACTATTAGTACGTATATTATTTATTTTCAAATTTAAGCAAACCAATTCAAGTTTGATTTATAGGTAAGCTTGTTTAAACTTAATAAGTTAATTTAAAAAGACTAAGAATAACTACTGTGAGTGTGCAATCTTTGTGTATGCATAAAAATAAAGCAAATGTTATTTTAAAAGAAAAGAAAAGAAAAGATATAAATCTTACATTTTATTATATTAATTTTAATTTTAATTAGAAAATACTTCCTTAATAATTTTATTTTCAAAGATTCTATTAATGGATTTTTCTTCCATCTTTATTACTTTATCTTCTATTAGATAGCAAATATAAAATTACTAAGTTTAAAATACTTGAAAAAATCTAATAAATAAAAAACCTAAATTATAAAATCAACTTATTTAAATATATGGATCAAACCTAAATATTATAAAGGCGCGTTGTGTTATACACGCATATACTATTTATTTTACAAAAATAATTAATGTTATTAAGCACATATTAAAAATTGTTAATTAATACAACTAATTTGATATTTATCTTCCTTAATTAAAGAGTGGGGTTTAATCTCCGCCTTAAGCATGGAATCATAATTAGAAAAATATTATAAAAAAAATTATTAAGCATAAAGATAATAATTAATAATAAATAGTTTTCATATATATTGTAAAAATTGTTTGAATCAAGTCTGAATAAAATAAATGAATTGATCTATTATTTATAGAAAATATTGACGCATTACTTTTAAAAATAGAAGGTGGAAAATCACCGTGACTTTTTATTATCACGAATTCACGATCCATACAAATGTAATTAACATATTTATACTCCCAATTAATAAACCCCTAACTAATAATAATCACAATAGTAAAAGTAGTAAAATAAATTGATGCAAGCCTAGCCTTCTACTACACGGCTATGTATGTAAAACACACTGTTTAAAAAGACAAAAGTATTAAAAATAAACAAGTTTTAAATTCTTAATATATTATTTGATTCTGACTAATTAATTTAGGTCAAGTCAAAAAATCTCAATTAAAGATTCTATTTTTACTTTTTGTTTAACAATTCCTTAAAAACTTGATATTCACACAACTTGAGGCAAATAATTAAGACAGAACCGTCCTAATAATTCCATTTTTCTCCCCACGAATTGAGACAGATTCCCTTGAAAAACACTTGTGGGACATAATGCACGTGTAGTTAAGACAGTGTGTGTGTACAAGACTAGACTAAACTACTACCTTAAAGAAAAGTGGAAGGAATAATTTCCAAGAAAACTTAACTGCAAGACACATCGCAGTTGAGTTGACCCAAGTACAAACCCTTGCTATTACCCTTTCTTTCTGTTCTTTCCAATTACATGCCATAAAATTTAAGGTTTTCCACGAGAATCAGAGCTACTTAGCTATCTATAGGAAGAAGACGAAGCACAATACTAGTTAGTGAGTCAAAATTCAAATTGGAATCATCCAAAAGTGGGATATGGAAGGAGAGAGAGGAGGAGGTGGTGCTTCCAATTATGACCTTCAAGTTTCATTCACCAACACCCCACAAGCCATACACGAAATGGGTTTTGTTCAATATGAAGAAAACCAAATCCTTGGCTTCTTGTCACCCTCTTCACAATCTCAATCTTCTCACCTCCCTCAATCCTTAAACAGTGATACTGTTGTTGCTGCTGCCACCACCACAACTGCTGCAACTATCGGATTCATGAGCCATAACAATGATCTTGTCAACAAAACTTGGAGTAACGACCAGGTGCATGGTTATTCACTTTGAGCTGTATATATATGCTTTGCAAAATTAATAATCTCCATAATTGAAAATACGATCGAACAAAGTTCTTTAATATAATATTCAACCTTATATATAATAATTAATTTATTATTTGTTTAATTTACTTTTGTGTGTTATTTTGTCCTTTTCGATCTTAGGGTATTCATTCCATCACCTTAATTTTGCTTATGCTATTTTAGGTAGGAACTCTGGATCCAAAGGCTGTCGATGAAGAAAATTGCACTGGAAATGCTAGTGAAGGCAACAACAACGCTTGGTATACATACCACTCTTCCAACTTCAATTTCATTACACTATTTCTAACTTTTATGTCTCTCCTCTTTGCTCCTTTATCCTCCCTCTCTCGATCCTAGTTCATGCATGTAAATATTTATTTATTTATATATCCAATTAAAGAGATATTCTTCAGCACGCATTAGATCAGAATCTAAAGGTCTCCAATCTTTATATATAAGGAAGGGATTTCTTTTTTGCCTTTTGGTTCAAGTTTTTAAAAAATGGTTTGTAACTGCGATTTAAGGTTTTTTCTTTTTTTAGTTTTTGTGATTACTTTATGATCATAATTGAAGTCGTATACCGCATTTATTCTTAAATTAAGAATTAAACTTTAATCTTTGATTAAAGAGTGTAAGTTACATTACTACTTTGCATCTGTCACAATTTTATCTACAATTTTTTGCTAACATCAAGAATTGTGACGAAATTATAACCAAGATCACAGTTTAAAATTTTTTTTGGGTTATTATGGGGAACAAGAGCTTAAAGATTCAAGCCTTGATATTCATTGATTCTCGATTGAATCCGCTTGTGCATCACTGACTTCACATGTTCTCTCAAAGATCATTTATCAATTTTTTTAAATTATTTTAATTAAGTCTTAATTAATTGGTCATTTGTTTCAAATTGAGAAATGTGATTAAGGCGGATTAATTAATTAAATTAAATTGTTTTGGTGCTAAGTATATATGATTCTACGTGTTGTGGTAGGTGGAGAAGCGCAGCTACAGAGAAGAACAAGGTGAAAATAAGGAGGAAGCTTAGAGAACCAAGGTTTTGTTTCCAAACACGAAGTGATGTAGATGTGCTTGATGATGGTTACAAATGGAGGAAATATGGCCAGAAAGTCGTCAAAAATAGCCTTCATCCAAGGTAATTATATAATATAATCCACAAATCTTGATATATTAACCATGCCTTTTAAGGACAATAATGATTTTATTTAATTATCAGATGGAAGTTGAAATTTTTAACTGTACTGATTCATTGAATATAAAGCAGCTAGCACAGTGTTAAAAGGAAGCCATAATAACTAGGATTTTGAACTAAGAATTCTGCTCAACTTACCCAATCAAATGCATTCATTGAATATACATAATAATTACAAAACATTCAAGAGGTGAAAAGAAAACCATAAAAACTCTATCAGGCAATATTCAAGAGGTGAAACTGTCTATGAACTAGAAAGTGTTTGTGGTTTAGTACACTGGCAATATCTCAGGCATTATACCCGGGGGAATGAAGGTAGAATGTCTTTTCTGGAAAAAGTATGTCGGTAGTGAATAATTTAATCAAATTGGCACAAGATCATTCACTTAGATTTTTGTTTCTAAGAAACGGATACACGAAAGTTTAATGACACACGGAGACAAAAGGAGGGAGTCACACGAATTATTGAGGAAATAGATAAAAGGAATGATATATTCATGATCATTAATTTCTTTCAATGTATATATACATTGTTGATCGATGCCTTAGCTAGGCTTAAGTCAAATATTGAAAGGGAAGAGGGAATATATAAGCGAGTATATAATTTGGTGGGCTATTATTAGAGTTTTGACAATAAGGTGCACTATAGGGTCCCCTCTTTCGTACTCTATTTCAAAACCATCTAATTTGTCGTGGTATATCTATGACAAACTTCTCCACATATTCATCCATCTCTGAAAAAGGCTGCAGTTCAACTTAAAGTTTCTCCTTCTAACTCAATCATTTATCTATGTTTTCCCAAATCCAATTCATGCTTGTGTTAAAATGTCATAAAAAACTGTTGTAGTTTTAGATTATATTATTACTTTCATGCATGGAACTTTTCATTCAAATAGAGTAATAAGATGCATGCAAAATTCTCACAGTTAATTCTACACATTTGGTGCAAATATATGATTTGTCACTCGAGGTTCTTTGTTACTTCATAAGAAAATGCAATAATCAGCCAAATAAGATGTTTGGAGCTGAGTTTCCAATTAACCTTTTTTTTACCCAATTGATACAATTCAAGTGTTATATATGGTGATAAAATTTTAATTAGCTAATCAAAATTGACACAATATAAAGTATTATATAATTGGAGACATATAGGACAAAAAGTGGATAAGTTTTACACAAGTTAATTTTATCCTGAATGAGAAAAGGGGGATAAAAAAGTTATTGTCACGTGCCTCGATGCTATTATGGGCAAAAGCTAAGAATTGAGAAATTTTAGTTAGCATGAAGAGCAAGTTGATTCCGACATCACTCACAATAAAAGAAAAAGTAGTTTTTCAGGACCAATTCAAATATAATGACATCTTTCTAAAATGTACTCATAATCGGAGACAAGTTTTAAGATTTGATATGGAAGGTAAATAGATTATGAGTGCACTAAACCAATATTATTAATCTTAACCGGATCATTTATTTGGTCGGGTTACTAGGTTGTTAATTACAGTTTAATTAATGACTTCTTGTTCAAACACAGATTGAGTCATAAAATTTATATAAAAGTGAGACAAATAAGTTTGAGCTGTATAATCAGATATATAAATGATTAATAATTAAAAAAAATTATAGTCAAATCATAAAAAAAAATTATTCAAAGTACATGACCCTGAATAGATTCAACCTAGTTTTAGGGTTCAATTGTATGATAAATCCAATAAGATTCATTAACCATGAATATATAAGTTCAGCCTAGTTTTCGATTGGTTACGTTGAATATGTTGTATAATACCATTAACTTATTTAGACAAGTTACTCGACCCAGTTGGGTTGAAACTAAGTGAATGATACACTGAATTTCTTCGGTTGACCATAAAAGTAAAATATCAAAGCTAAAAAAACAAAAATTCAGAAGTATTTTTGAATACTTAGTTTCCTAAAAGAATTAAAGTTTTTTTTTCATCTTGATGATTATTAATATAACAAATTCTTGTTACGACTATGTGTATTGATTTCTCAAATTCAATGACTTTTAATTATTAGACATATATTTAGTTCTTAAATATGAAAATGGGTTCAAGACATGTGACTTAATTTGATCAAAGTTGAAACTAGACTAATGACTCTTTCTTTAATTAAAGTCTTAAGTTTCACAAGAATTTTATCAAAAGAAATGTTTATATTTAGTATTCTCCGGAAGCAGTAATAGCCAGAGTATAAAATTCAATGTCACATAACAAATTAATACTTTGGAAAACCATGCATCTTTCTGAGTAATGTTAATAATTCTTATTTTACTTTTTTGCTTAGTAGCACCTTTCGATTTTGTAGTCGGAATAAAGCTTTTATCAACTTAATAAAAGACCTTTTTTTTTATTTTTATGAAAACCATGTCAATTAGAAAAGAAACCAAAAGACTAGTTTTTCACACTATGGTAAAATAATATTCAAAGTTTCTTCGAGAGATGTGTCCATATTTAGTATTTAACAATATTCCGAATAAGATTATCTCTGAAAGGGGTCAGATGAAAAAAAAAAGTATTGAAGAAGACATAATAATTTTAAAATAGAAAGAAAATTCATATTTGTAATAAGCATATTTGACCCAAAAGATAAACACTTATGGGTATATATGTTGCCTGCATGTGAAGGAACAGTAAGAATAGTTTTACAAGAGGTATTTCCGGACTCTAATGCAACATGGTCAAAGTGCTATCTATATCCATTATCCTTAAACTAAACAACAAGATACTGTTACATATCATCATAACAAAATTGCATTTGAAGATAGTTACTTAGAAATGCAATTAGGAAGATGGAAGAGTTATTGAAATGACATCAGGAACAAATGTTCATGGAACTGGAAGCAGAATGTTTTCAAATATGATGATGGAATAAGGTTGACATTAACATATATTGTTTAACAAAAATAATTTACATCATAAAGTGATGCAGTACCAAACTTGTTTACCAGTTTTATTTAAAATAAATAGAGGAATTATAGATGAGTAGGAGCAATAATATGTTTCTTGAAAAGGAATTTATAAATGTGTATAACTTTGTCCATATCAATGACAAATGCCTGTGATGTGTATTTTTTAAAAATGACAGAGGTTTAAAGAGCGACAGGAACATGAATGTATTTAAATTAATCAAGAAACTTAAATTCTTTAAATCTTAGTTTGATAAAGAATTTAAATTTTATACATTCTCAGGGTATTCATCTTTTTATGTTATCAATTAATTAGATAACATTTTATGTAATTACGATATTACAATAATCAATTGATTATAATACTTTATTAGATTTAAATATGTTTTTTAATTTTATAGAATGAGCAAAGTTAATTTTTTTTATTCTCTAAAATTTTAATCATTTTTTTATCTATAAAATGAATTAGTTTTAATTTTGAGAAAGACATTAATTTTGATTTTTAATAATAATTATTTTAAGAAAAATAAATAATTTTAATTTTAATTACCTATAAAAAATTAAGAGAACTACAATGTGATATCATAGATAATTGTAAGAGTTACTTGAAATATAGTCACTTTACCATATAATAAACACATAAGTGATTAATAAAGATTGATACATATAATAGAGGGGATTAAAGTCAATGTTTCCAAATTTTATAAAAATAAAAATAATTATTAAGACCAAAATCAAAACCTATTAAATTTAAAAAATTAAAAATATATTTAAGATTACTATTATTTGATTGCATGGTATATATATATATATAATCAAATAATTATTTATTAGAATGATGTATAAATAAGGTAGCAAGAAAAACCAATCATTGTTTTTTTTCAAAATACCTAAATAAGCTAATCATAACTTATTTTCCAAATATGCTATGGTAAAAACCAAAATCAGTCAAATATGATAGAGATATGGAGATGGAGGTTCCATAAATAATAAGATTGTCAAATTTAATATACATTAATTTTAAGAGGGATTGTGTAACATACTAATTTATTGAATACTTGTTGTTATATTCAATAATTTCTCGCACATTTGGGACAATACTAATAATTAGGTAAGGTTCTTTTTATGCCAAAAACTCTTGGTGTAATATAAATAAATGATTGAGACTTTAATTTTTTAAATAAATCTTGTTAATAATATTTTTAGTTACTAAATATATAAATATTTAATTTTTATATATTTGCATATTAAAAATAGTTTTATTTGATTTTGCATATATCTAGAGGATTATTTTCCCTAGAAAAAGAGAATTATTTATTATGAAATTATATTAAGGGAATAAAACAATTTTTTTTAATCTGAAATAATTTATTCCTTAATTTTGTTATATACCCATTTATTTATTTTTATTTATTGGTCGAGTGAAAATCAAGTTTGGTCATCAAAAGATGTATTTAGTTTTCAATAGTCTATCATGTAATTTTTTTATAATTGTATTATTAATATGAAGTATCTTTCAAATTTAATAATGGCCAATTTTTGTTATAAAATTTAACTAACTACTTTTTGGAATTCTCTCATCCAATCACATTTTTATTTATTCATAAAACTTAAACTTGAAAGCTTTATTTAAAGAAATGAACATCTAATTTCTTTTAATAACTAGGTGATATGTATTATTTAGAGTAATAATACATGTACAACAATCTTGTAAAATATTTATTTGAAGTTATCTCTTTATTATTTCATTAATTTATTACATTGGGAACTGTTTATGATAGGAAATATACTTAAAAAAAACGACAATATTGTATTAGTTGTATAATTTTATTATACATATCGCTACTATATTATTTATAAATGTAAGAAATTTTTAATCCCTATTAGACATTGTCTTTTAACTACAAACTATGCCGATTAGTTTATTGCTATCTTTTACAATAACAATTGCAAAAGTTATATAAAAAAAAATCTATTAAACTCATATTAAATACACAATGACCTTACATTATATATACCCACACCACTTTACACAAGTCTTTCAAACAAATTAAGTTGTTCATAAATGAATCGGATAAAGAAAAATTGACATCTGCATTTGATAATAGACATATAATGTAATTAATGACCAAAAATGAGTGTTTCTGATAAAAATCACAACTCTAACATCAACAGTACCGTCTAAAAATAATTTAATTTTTAAGAAACCGTGTATACTGAATCACTGATCAATAATGGCAAACCAAGACACCATCCAGACTTGCTCAAGTCTTTAATCGCTATGTAAAACAATAAAACGATGGATTGCTAAGTTTTAAGGGAAGCATGCACAACAGAAAACCTGGAGCTACAGTACTTATAATCATGTAATTAATATTTGGGATACATAATATTGCAGAAGTTACTACCGATGCACCCACAACAACTGTAGGGTGAAGAAGAGGGTTGAACGACTGTCAGAGGATTGTCGTATGGTGATAACCACCTATGAAGGTAGACACAATCACTGCCCTTCCGACGATTCTAATTCATCCGACCATGAATGCTTTACCTCTTTCTAGTTCTCCTCCTTTTTTAATAATTATAAAACCATAACTTTCATTGCTATAAGTTCCCATGTACTTGTCACTTTTCACAACGCTTTGTATCCATAATTCCATATATATACTTATTACAACATTTCCCTCCTTTTCTTTCTCCATATTTGGAACGAACTATACTGTCTCATAAAAGTTATTTTATTGGGTCCAATCCATTTATACGGATTTTGTTTTGTTTTGTCAATATAGCTAGATGATCTTCTTAATTATTCTTTATTTACATAATTAAGATGACAAAATATCAGTACACATGCATGTTGTATTATCTGAATCCTTTCTCTACTTGTAATTACGTATCTCGTATCAGCTATTTAATGCGAGAAACAATGGTACGAATCTGTATCAATTTATATGTGTCAATGTTTTATTGGTTATTTGAAAGTTAACAAAAGAAAAAATAAAGTCACTTATTTAAAAGAAATCACAAGATAAGTTTCGAGACTAACTTGGTTGCCCCTTTTCAAATAGGTCACAGGTGACGTTATTTTCCTTTTGTAATTTTCAATTTTCAAATAACTAATAAAACACAAACATGTGTATATACACGAATAATATTAATTTGTATCATCCTATCTTGTATGTATAAGAGGAAATTAAAGTTAAACTTAAAGACTAGTCTTTCTTGTCATATGTATATCCATCGAGCTCCTTCGAGGAAGAGAATGCGATTTTACATGCATGCATTACGTAAAGACAATAGGATTACATATTATTTCTTAGCGAATTTGGCTCTCATATATATATTACACCGTATCTCGTCATGTAGGTCCTTCAGAAAATTTGGTGGTGTTTCAGTCTCACATTGATTAATTTGTATAACTTACTTTTAGGACTGTAAACTCGGGTCGGGCTCTCTTATTTGAGTTTGACTAATGTGGCCATTGAGATGGATTGCACCAATTGGTTTAGGGCTTTGATATTCTCATGCTCCTTTTTCAAGTTTATATCCCAAATATGATGATTTTTTATAGATAAAATACTCTTGTCAAAAATATTTTTTCATTATGTATTGTACACAAATACACACCAAAAATATATTTTTACCAGTATTTTAACATGTAATGACATATTTTTATTTGATACAACTTAATTATAATTTGTAATAAAAATTATTTTAAATATATGAATTGATAAAAAAAAATCATATAGATTACATTTTTTATTTATTTATGATAAATATTTTTTACTGTGAAATATAATTATTTTTAATTATTGATAATTTTAAAAAATATTGAAATTAAGTTTATAAATAAAAATAATAGATTAAAATAGATGAATAAAAAATAAGGAAAAAATCCTAAAAGTACCACTGATAAAGAAAATTAGTTAAAAATACTCTTGTTGAAGAATGATCTCTAAAATCACACTCATCCAAGATAATTATTCTAATTTATATATACAGAAGATTATATGTGATTTGGTATATAATATAAACGTGTTTCTATCGTGTATTTAAGTATCTTTTTATAAAAAAATAAAATAAAATAAAATAATTTTTTAATTAGTTGATTAATTTTAAATAAGGTATTAATTTAATAATTTTTGTTTATTTTGGTTTATTTTTATTTTTTTAAAATAAGTCAACAATATAAAATACTAGAGATGAAATATTAAAAAAAAAAAAAAAGTGAGCATACTCGTATAAAATAAGTCAACATAACATGAAAGAATACAAAATAGTGAAGAGTGAACACAAGATACAAAATAAAATCTATAATATCACTAGTGGTTTTACTCCTCCACATGTACATCCCACTATAATGTTTGATTGTAAGTGTTATTGTGTCTCGTGTTTAGGTATAATGTGTGGGTATAATCTTCGGCACCCCTAAGCAGTGTTTATATAATGTATTGGTAGATATTGGTTTATATAATATACAACTTAAATAACTTTTATAGTATATTATTAATTTTATATTATATATTTAATAATATAATATATATGTAGATATTACATATATTATTTTTTGATATCAATTGCAAGCATATTATATATGTACATATTATTTATATTTTTAATTTGTCTTTTATAGTATATTATTAATTTTAAATTATATATTTAATAATGCAATATCTATGTAAATATTACATATATTATTTTGTGATATTAATTGCAAGCATATTATATATGTACATATTATTTATATTTTTAATTTGTATTAATATACAGTTTAACATGTAATTTTTTATATATTTTTTTATAAAATAAAAATAAAAATAATTTTAAATAAGATAAAAAAATTGAAATTTAAAATAAGATATGAATTTATTAAAATTTATAAGTATAAAATATATTTAATATGAATATTTTTTTAATAAAAATAAATAAAAACCGAGTCATGCGGTTCAACTAATGACCCACCGGTTCAATCTTTGACCCACTGACCCAATATCTTAACCGGTTCGATGACCAGTCCAATTTTTAAAAAATTAAAACTATGCCCCTAAGTAACCATCTTCAAATCAAGTATGTGCTAAAAAATTCTTGGTTATCTTGTCAAAAAAAATGTCTACAACAAATATGTTTGATTGTCATTCTATACACAGGGAAGGAGATATGTATAATTAATTGACAATCATGAGATTGAGAATGATGTGAATAAATAAAGGTAGTTATTTTTAATAGATTTATAATAATTATGATATCATTTTACTAAAATAAAAAAATTTGATCTAATTCAACTCTATAAAATCAACTTGAAAAATAAGAATGTTCTAAATGTTATTTTTTATAGTTTTATCTTTAGTGATGTGATATACACATATTTCACAAAAAATGCGTGAGAAAAACATAATTGTATTGCTCTCCCTTTTAGTTCATTAATGCTTTTCCTAGCCATTGTGTTTTTATGTTGGAATTAATAGTTTTATTCTTTTACGTGGGAACATGTTCACTGCCATATAAATCCTAAACAAGTTTTCATGTCCCTTATGGACTTGTGGTTCATTAATGCTCTTCCTAGCCATTGTTGTGGTTGCACTTAATTTACTCTTCAAAAGAAAAGTCATTTTAACTCTTACCTTATGTTTTGATAAAGGAAAAGAAAATAAAGAAATTTATTTTAGAAATTATAAAAATGTTTAATTTATTGAAAATAAAATATAAAAAATGACTTTATAAATAACCAAAATTTCAAGGTTTTCTTTCTTCATTTGGTCTTCCATTCAAATTTTAAAACTCTCACCTCTGGAAGATAAATCGATTTAGGAAAATTGTTGGATGGCACAAAGCATGTGAACGAATCAGTACACGAGGACACAGGTATTTCCGTCTCATTTATTTTATTAAAAAATAATATAAAAATATCTAGCTGATTTCGTTTAAATGCGTGCAAAAATAATTCGTATTGTTCTAATAATTTTAATGAGAAATTTAATTGGTACTTAAGCAACTAACCCAAGTCTTTTAAATATTGCACCCAACAAATATTTTAGTCTTTTTAAATTTCAGAGCACTATTTTCCCAATTCATTACCGCTGGTAATTTTCAAGAAATGAAAGAAAATTCAGTAGTCATGTACATTCTCACAGCTTGCTGAGAAATTATTATATATTCCTAGAGTAACTATTAATTCAAGCTTCATCATGATTTCATACCAATTCAATTCAATTTTGAACCAATTCAAGCATATTCACATTAGTTCAATTGTTCAACCGATCCATAACACACAATTCACCGGTTAAACCAAGAATCCAAGATCATTTTCATTGTTGAGTGTCCCAAGAATTTATCAGATTTACAGAGGAGATATACAGGACTATACACTTAATAGCAATCTTCAGTAAATTGTCTTAGCACAATTCTCCAGTCGCCTGAGAGAAACATTGATATTCCTTGAGAGTCTTTTGGTATGAGCATACAACGCTAACTTGTTAGGATATGCAGTATCTTCATCACGAAACCGAGTAGCTCAGCGCAGCTCTTACAGATACTAAGCAGTGATAAATCTCAAGGTTCATAAAAAAAGCAATGCAAAAATTTGGAACTGTAAAAGGTCCGTTGAATTTAGACCAAAAAAAAAAAAAAAAAGCATATGCATAAAATAAAATCAGGGTACTTTTGGCCAAAGGAATACTTAAGGTACTATTCATCAACTCAAACATTAAATGTTACTCAAACAACAATATGCAGTATATTAATTTCTCCACAAACAGGGCCCAGGCAGAATCTACCAGCTTAGGTATACCTGCCTGTGGACCAGAAAAAGGGTACAACTGCCTGAATTACAATACTGCAATCGAGGAAATATATAGGCAAACCACAATTCATTACAATCTAATCTTTATGGTAGCAAGAAGCAAACCTACATTTCAGACTCCCCTGGTAGTTTGTCCCACCCACAATATCATCCTCCAACTAGATTAAAAGCTTAACTGCTTCCTCCAGAACCTTGACGATATCATACTCAGTCTCGCCTCAGTTTTGCTCAGATGTTAGAAGGTTAAATGCCGAATCGGAAGGAATGGAAATTATAAGAGTAGCATCACATCACGTACGACCTTCTGGTTAAAACTAGTAGTCACAGTAAACACTGATAACTATCGTGAGAGAAGTTTGTATGAGGGTATATCTTCTAGACGCGTTATGTCTTCAAGCAGAAGCTCTTTCTCCAGCTGGCGGCGTGTAGATTTCATTACTGTCTGTTATAACATAAGTAACATGTTGATAATCACTGGCAATACTAAGAAACTTGCATAGTTTAATTAAATTTGCTAGAGCCATAATATTTCGTTATTTCATGATAAAGATTACATACGTTAAAATCCATGTATGACGCACGCATAGAGAGCCATTGATGATCCATCAGCTTGAATGTTATGCAATAGAGAAGATCAAAAGCTGATTCATTTTCTGTCGGACAGAAAGATGAATTTAGTAACTTGAAACAGCAAACTAACATAAAAAGAAGACCGCCACTTCTAAGCTATAAACATAAGTATTTTTCACACGATAGATTTTTCATGAAACTATTACGAATTATGTAGCAGCAATCGGGTTAGAGAGAAAAAAAATAGATAGAAATGAAAGGTGAAGAGGTAGTGGAGGAAACAAGCTCCTTAAAAAAGCCTTCATAAATCAAAACAAAAATAAAAATACTTTGGTAACATTTAGCATTTTTCCATTTTGTTATGGTTAAGTTCTGACCTCCCTGCTTCCCTTCCAAACTGAACAAAAATACAACTAAACAAGTAAAATAATAGATAACGAGGGGAATAATAACGGCTACCTGTAAGAAATTTTAGGAAAGTTGCTCCCACCAGTGTCCGTGGTTTGACTGTCAAGGAAAACAAAATTAGTAACAGATGACATCATAATCAAATTCATTAGTTGTGAAAGATATCTATCGCGTAATAGTCTGCAATTGCATAAAAAACATGCAGTTTCATGATATTTCACATCAGAAAATATTTATAATTGCTAACAAGCCATATTTGCATGGACAAAGAAAACAATTTATTTAAATATGGGGTTTTGGCAATATTTTTCAATTACTTGCAAGAACAATTTGTATAATATGCAAAAAAAAAATATTATAAAAATGTTCAGAAGTGGTGAGTAGATGTAAAAGGCTGACCTATGTCATTGGATTGGAATGACCAACTTCTTACATTCTTTCATATAAAGTAGAGACATTATGCTTCTGGGATAAGGAAAATAGGCCCTCAGAAACTTCTAATCTAATCTCTTTTATTTACAATGTGGCACTAGCCATCACTCAGATAATGATTAGTATAACTGTAGCCATACTGAAGTATACAAGAGTAAATGGCAAAAAATTGCAAGTACATTTATGTCATCATGTAACCTTCGAAGGGCTATTTGTTGGTTCTCAATGAACTTGACAAATCACAGACCAGAATGCAGAAACAAACGAGCCCATACATATAGACATCCCCCAATTGTCCTTTTATACATGAAATATGCTGAGACTAGAAAACTACAGTAAAAGGAGAAGCCATAAACCTGCTTCAAGATCCAGCATCTGAATAAGCATAAATGTGATGTTAACACCAGCAACTGCAAATGGGTATTCCCAAACCGATCGATCCCCTTCTCGCTTCCGTAAAAGATCTTGAAAGGATTTCTACAAAAATGGAAGGGTCAGGTTTTGTGATAAATATACATGAATAGGAAAGACTTATTTAAATTTAAGGTTGACCTGAAAGTTCTTGAAGGATTGAACCAATACTAGATTAATAAAAGACAAACGCTGAGGAAATAAGGGTATAAAAGAAATGCAAAAATGTGTCTGGAAAAACTCAAGATCACGGCAACATGTCTGATATATAATATCCCTAAGACAAAATTGATAACCATCCACAACAAATGAAACCAGTGAAAATATGCAAGCAAGCCAGGGAGCATGAAAAAGAGGACAGCATATTTTAGAAAATTATCTGCCAAGAAATCTCAGCATTTAAGGCATGTATTATATCACAATTCATCATATGTATTAAGTCCAAATTGCTTAGATGGAGAGATTTTCAACATCCAGAAAACAGTGAATAATGAAAAATATTTGCTATGAAGTTCCATGACTTTATTTTTTACATGACACTGATGGGGATGGTGTAATTCAACAGACAGATCATTGGAAAAGAAAAACAAGATTGATTAAGTTAAATTCCTTCTCTTTTGTCATTTATAATTTATCCTAAAATACTAGACTTATAAGTCAGGTAAAGCAAAAGAACAAATTAGTATGGTCAAAATTCATCAGTCAAGGAGGAAGTCCATAATCAGAAAACAAGAAATTTATTCAGATCAGCAAGCATTTTGGCTAAAATGTTGCCTATTATTAACTCCCTCCCAAATCAACCATCTAATAAAGCACGCAAGAAACAATAAGACCCTTTTGAAAGAAATAGATGAAAATCCCTAAGTTTGTCAAATTTAAAAAAGAGGAAGCAACCATTCTTCAAAAAGATAAAGGGTTTAATGGTGATGTCCTGACAGTGTAAAGAGTTTTACAGCCAACCAGTCAAAAATCACAATTTATATGACTTTTAAGATAATAATTATAAAACTCAACAAAATTCTCATTTAAGATGGATTTTAATTGGATAACTATGTAAAACTACTTTACTATTAGTGCATCATTATTAAATTCAAAGATAAAACCCAAGAATAAAATATTTATCTACAGAAATCCTGTTTGAAACAAAAATGGCATTTCTTTTGGATGATATACTAATATGATTTGCTTTGTTAATCCCTTCAGATAATAAAATAAGCTTTATTAATTTTGGTCAAGTAAAAAATAAGGCTCTAAAATAATTTTTACAACACACAAAAACAGAAAGGGAACATACCGGGAAATTCCTAGCAAAAAACAGTAAATTCTCCAATGATATGAAACCACCACCCCTACCAAATATATACAGATAGAAGTTATTAGTAACGAGTAATTAGACTGAAGACAGTATAACGATCAAAAAAAGACTGAAGACAGCATATGACATTGAGAGGAAAACAACTAGAATAATATCTACCTAAAATCTGTTGATGGATCCTTCCCTTGCCAGCCCATATCCTTCCACTGCTCAGAAATCAATCCACGGAGTTCTTCTTCAGGAAATGCAGCATTCCATAAAGCTCTTAGGGCATCCTAAGCATAGATAAAAGATTGCATAAATGGTATGACAAAGGCAGTGTACATGGCTTAAAGTCTTTGATGAAACATCACTTTCACAGACTTGAAAAATATCAATAGAAGGGATACCTGGTGCTCAGGGACAGAGCTGTCGTATGGAACATCTATGCGATTCTGTAGCCTCTGCAAGCATTCCTCCTGAGAATTTAAGATTCAGCATTGAGAATTAGTCGTGCCATAATTATAAACAATATTTAATAGAAAGAATAAGTAGAGGGTGACATTATTTTGATATCAGATCAGAAGGTGTAGCACCCAAGCAATCGTTAAAAAAAAAAAAAAAACCATGAAACATGGGTGTCAAAGCAGCTGTTACAAATTCAGAGCAAGCTATAAATTGTATATAATTACAATTTTTTTGAAAATGAGTTAAAATCTTCAGAAACAACAATTGATTTTTTTTTGTTATTAAGGTAAAAACGTTGATGTTTCAAAACAAATTAATAGCTCAATATGTTTTTATTGCGTGAAATTCAGAAAAAGATTTTGTTGTTGTTTCAAGTAGTTTAGAGGATTCTTATCTTATTAAAAGAAGACACATCTCATCAACAAAATCACATTATAATTTTTCTTCCTTTTTTTAGGTAGGAAGATGACCAAGAGGAAAATTAACAGAATTACTTAAATGAGTATAAAATTAAGATTACCTGGGCTGGAGTTAAATCAAAAGAGGGTCGAGCATCACTTTCTCTTCTCTGTGCACAGACACAGGACAAACCTCTGCCAAGCCATGCTGTTGATCCTGTCACAAACTCAGCTGTAACAAAATAAAACTGCACATAAATGTAGATTGAGCTTCCAATTTTTGCGCCACAAATTTATAATAATTTGATCAACAGAAATCATACGTTATCAATGAGTGATTAATCATCCTCACCCAGTGCACCACAGCTTTCTCCTAAAACCACCCAGCATATTTTAACCACAAAAAATTGTTTATCTCTCCCCCGTCTCCTTTTCCATCACTTTTAAAACCGACGTATCTATCAGTCGACATATATTTTGTTTTCTATTACTCATATTATTACCCAAGCTGAGGACAAGGAGAAAGGACAAAGCCAAACAACCAAATATAACCACAACGAAGAGTGGATTTTGCTTTAATCATTATGCCAGCCACTGGCTTTGTTTCAATCATACTGCCACCCACCAGGTTGCTTTATTCACAATTTCCCACTATTTTTGCACTTAAACACTAGACATCAGCTTCACGCTCCAAAAAAAAATAATAATACAACAGTATCAGCATTTTCCAATATTGACGAACACTGTACATTTCACAAATGCTAGATCTACGAAATAACAGCACCCAATATCAGAACCCGTAGATTAAGCACAGTAAACAACTTTTAACGCTAAGATTAACACGTTCCACAGTAAGGCGAGCTCCATAGATATCTCAACCAAGCTCAACTCAACCCAATCAAAACTAAAACAACAATATAATAATTAAAAAGTAGTAGCTGTAAGAATTGTGAATTCAGTAATTCACCCACCAACGCAATTTTGAATACCCGCAAACATGACGCAGCGAAAAACCTGAGTTCAATCTAGATTCTATCGCGAAAGCGAGAGGTTGAACAAAAACACAAAAAAAAAAAAAAAAAGGGAAGCAAACGTGGAAAGTGGCGAAATTCACGAGAAAATTTTTACCAGAAGTTGAATGGCACGTGTTGCCTCGATCAAGACCCTGCGAAATCCTCCTCACAGCGACGAAGGAACCACCTCTATCGTCCATGTGTTCCAGCAGCAGCAGCCCTTGTTCATCACGTCATGGCGAGAGTGTAGTGAAGAATTGGGAGCGAAGCGGAAATGCGAGGGAAGTGGAATGCGGGAGGAAAAGGCAAGTGAGAGGGGGAAAGAAAGGAAAAGAAAGAGAAAAGAATCTTTTGCAAGATCTGAGAGCAGAGTGTTTGTTTTCTCTCTCTAAAGCTCTCTCGCCGTTTGGGAGCACAGGACAGGACTGCGTAAGCTTACTTCCGCTCTCTCTTCCACTTCTACATATATGGAATTTTTTACTGGAATAATATTTTTTTTTTTTTAAATTACAAGAATGATCACCGTGCAGGATTATTTACCAAGATAGAACCATTTACTGTTCAAGTTCAGAATTCGGTTCTCGGGAACCGAATTCTGAGCATCAAAATGTAATTTTTTTTGTTTTTTCAACTCAGAATTCGGTTCCCCGAGAACCGAATTCTGAGCTTGAACAGTAAATGGTTCTATCTTGGTAAATAATCCTGCACAGTGATCATTCTTGTAATTTTTTTAAAAAAAAATATTATTCCAGTAAAAAATTCACATATATGCCGCTTTTTATTTTATTATTTTCTTCGGTTAGTTGCACAAATATACCCGTACATGCGAGTAATATCTGAAACTGTCTCAACTTTGATAGGAAATATCCGTTTTAGCCGGGTATGAATATGGATACGGGTAAAACCTAATATATTAAATCGGATACAAATACGGGTATGTACTTACCTGTCCGTCCCATACTCATACCCGTCATTGTTCTCATTTTTAATTTAATACTCACTTTCAATTTAATTATATTAAAAAAATTTAATATTTTTTTATGTGCGATTATTTATTATAATATGAGATAGATAAATAACTTAATTATAATTATAATATAATAAAAAATAATTTAAAAATATCATTTTTTTTACAAAAAATAAAAAATAAAAAATTGACGGGTATGAGTACAGATACGGGTATACCCAATACTCGACGAAGACGGAGATGGAAATAAAAATCACATACCCGACGAGTACAAAGATAGAAACAAAGATGAGTTTGACTTGCAAGAACAAAAAAGGATATCATTATCATAAAACTCGTACCCACCCCACCCTATTGTCATCCCTAATTACACACCAATTTCTTTTATCAAACACAAAATACTTTCTCCTCTTTTCACTCCCCTCTAATTTAGTATTAACATGCATCCAAAATTATCACAGTTAATAAGATTTTTTCTACTATATATATATATAGGGATTTACATTCCATATTTCATTCTCTTAATTATACTTTATTTCTTAATTTCACATTCAATATTTACTATCATACTTTACTATTATATTAAGGCAATATAGTTTGTTATTTAAAGAATGATATAAATATTCTTTTTCATCGACGACTTTTAAAGCTTTTCACAAAAATTATCATGAAAGTAACGTTTTATTATACAAATCGGAGTGTTAAAAAAATTAGCCTATAAATGAGCTAGGAATTTATAATCTAGTTTTTTTAAAAGGAAGAAATCTATAATCTAGTTGAAAATTGTAAGCTATGATAAATTAGTTGATAAAAATTAAAATTTTACAACCTAATTAATTAAGTGGAAATATTTTTGATAAACTAATTAATAAATATAAAATGTTATATAAACTATAAAGATATTTAATTATTTGAATGGGAAAAAATTACTATTTTTACACACTAATTTATTTATACAAATTCATGAAAATAAGAAGTAGAAATTATTAAAATAAACGAGAATATCAAACAAAATTATTTTCATCAAATTAATTTATTAGCATCTCTAATATTTTTTCAAACATACCTCAATAATGATAAATAAAAAAAAAGTACTCAAAACTGATATGATTAAAGTAAATCACTAAGTCGGTTAATTATGGATAATTGAAGTAGTATATATAAATTTTAAATTTGAATTCTTTTTTGTCTTTGTAATTTTTGTTATTGAAAAGTTAATATAATTAAATATTAAATATCGTGTTAATGAATAAAGCAAAAATAGACAATTAAAATCGTACGATAAAGATAGAAAAGGAAAACACGTTATCTTTAATGATTATTTTATTATTAAATGCACGTCGAATGCAACATTGTTGTATCTCGTGTTAACGTGAGATACATAACAGATATCACAATTATATAATATCAAGATCAATTGTATGTTGAAAGTCTCAACTCACTCTAAATCACCACGTGAAGCGAGTTAAATGGATAAACGATTGAAATTTATTCAAAATTCTATTTAAATTTAATTTATTTTTTTAAAAGAAAATAGAACACGAGGTTGTCATGAAAGTTGGGACTCGATTCTTTACTAGCTAATTGAACATAGATAACGAAAATAAAGTTTGTTCAAAATAGTATCCACCTTGAATTACAATCCAATTAGGTTTTAGGTTACTTAAACCACTTGCAACTTAATCTAATTATGTAATTTTCATTAACTGAATCAATTTATTAATAGATAAATTTGATTACAAATTTCCTTTCATTACGCTTTAAGAGCGAAAAATTAATACACAAATCGATTAACTACACAGGATTTACTTCTTTTTGTTCAAATCTTTTTGTAATATGGGGAATTTATTCTCCAAGGTTAAATTTTATTGTTTTGATTGATATCATTTGTGTAATTTTTATTAGACCTTAGTTGATCTTCTATTTTTTTAATGATTAAAAAAAACTACTCATACATAATTTATAATTAAAAAAAAACACTTCTACATAAATCACAAAATTATGTGTAGTGAGTCAAGTCAATTTATCAAACCATGTTTTTCATTACTTCTAAAAGAAAATCACGTGGGTAGGGTGAATGAATTCCATTGTTTGAGAATTTAAAAAATAAAAGAGGGAGAAGCATAAAACACAAAGAAAACCATTCTCATCATTTTCTCTAGAAGAATTAAATTATATTTTTTTTCTTTAGGATAATAAGAAGGAAGACATAAGTATAATGAAAATTTATTTTATTTCTTTAATAATTTTATAATGAAAATTTATTTCATTTCTTTAATAATTTTATAAGCAAGTGAACAAAATAATTTTATTTTTAATTTATGGACATATTTACGTAATATCCAAAAACTAATAATCAATGACTAATTTATATTTGTAAAATATGACTTCTGTTAATCAAGTATTATTCCTTTCCTTAGTTTAGTTGTTTTCTTTTTCTTTTCAACTTATTCACTTTTTCTATTCCATTCAATTCATAGAAGAACATAATGTTAAGTTATCCACTTGATTGGCTTTTGCTTTCAACAATTTGTGTGTAAATAATGAGTAAATGTTAAACATTAATGAATTGTTCACCAAACAAAAAAAATCAAAACATTAATACTTATTGGCATATGATTATAAAATTATAGAGGAAACACTTAAGTCTTAAAAAAAACGTGTTATCATTATTTTGGTCTTTTTGTTATATAAAATATTGTCTTATTAACTCTTTTTTTCAAAAGAAAAAAAAAAGAGTGTCATGAAATCTTAATTACATACAATGTTTTATTATTAAAAAATTAAATTAATCTTTTTACCATCTTTCGATCACCATCTAATGTCTTATTTAATTATCACCAGTTAAGAATAAATATTACACCATGTAAAGTTTGAATTATGACTTAAACTAGTTTGTAAGAAGTCTTCTTTAGGAAAATATCTACCTTTGGAAACTCATGTAATAATAGCATCTTGGTCAAATATAAACTTCCAACCTTACTTCTACATAACTAAATTAAAACCATATAAATGACAAAAACTAATACCTCCATTTCCTTTCTCATAAACAAACAATCCCAATTTAGCCAATTAATCCCTCTTTCAAAATTCCTATTTAAGCCCCACCTCGACAAATTCATAATTTTTTTTGGATCTCCTCACCCAAAGTGGAAGGAAATAAAAATGTGGTCATGTAGAAAGCTGAGATTTACCAATTGAAGGATTGGAAGGTCTTCAAGTTTGTAATCTTATTGAGCTTATATTTAGCACATGGTGAGCTGATTCAAGATCTTTTAAATCAAAGAGATAGCTAGTTGATTATGTCAATACCAATACATTTCAATATAGAGGAGGATCAATTGGTTTGGAATTATAGTAAGGATGACAATTATTTAGTTAAAACAGCATACTACCATGTCATGGAATCTTCAATTAATAATTCACATTTGTGGGTGCAAGGAGATCGGAAATTTATTTGTAGTCTACATGTCCATCACAAAATAAAAACTCAAATAAAAATATATATTTGGAGAATGGTGTCATATTGCCTTTCACTATAGGCTAGTTCTTAGTTCAAAAACATTAATTGCCCTATTACTTGTGTGTTTTGTGCATCTTGTCCTAAATTTGGATCACATGCTTTGGTTTCTCTTATGTATTAAATGTATGGAGGTATTTAGGATGTTAGAATCATATTAGTTCAATGGTGCGTAATGTTGATAATTTTAAAGAATTCATTCTTCATATTCTAAAATATCTAAATAATGACCAACAATTACCTTTTATATCCACTATTTGGTGTTAGTGGCACCATCACAATGAGAAGGTTCGAGAAGATATAGAGAAGTCAATACATATGTCACTCAATTCTACCAAAGATTACATCCACTAGAAAGTTATTAGGTAGTTGTTGGCTACAAGTGCTTCTCAGCAAAAATTGATTTTTGCTGTTTGCTGTAAATGTTGGACTAAATATGTTTTTGGTATGCTGAAGTGCAACATGGACACATTGCATATTTGAGTACCTATGACATGGGAGCTTGTATTCAAAATGAAAAAAAAAAGGTTAATTTGTTTTATCAATGACATCTTCTCATACATGTAACCTTCTTGTTCATGAAATTGAGACATCATTCTTATTGACAACAATCACTTAGGTCAATTATAAGCTTATTCAAAATGCCATTTTTAAACCTTACTACAAGCAAGTTTTTGATGACATGCATGCTAACTTGACTCCAAGCAAGTAAAACAAAACTTAGTTTGATTTGCAACACTTTAGCGAGTTTTGTCTGTATACAAGAATTAAGTCACTCATGCTAGTCCATATACTTTTAGTCATGTACCTGATTATATTAACCCTATTATGATTAATGAAATTATATAATCATCTTGCAGTCATCTTGCAGTAAAAGAGAGAGGGAGAGATATTAAATTAATTTTAATGACTACATTTTTAAAGGTTATTTTTTAAAATTCTTTTTATCTCTTTCAGA